TTGCGATCAGCAGGAACAGTGAGTTAGCCCGACCGCTGTATCCAAGGCCCGTACGAGAGAAGCAAGAGTGCACCAGAGAATACGAGCAGCGTGCATTCGCACAAAGCAAGATAGAGTAAGCCATTGTCACACAGGGGCTACGCGTATTAATGGTCCGCGTCGAGACACTGTCCAATCGGACATGGACCAATCAGAATTGAGGGAACATAGCTAGCCAGACAGTGGAGAAGCTGAGAGCTGCCGTTGTATGTGCTCACTCATTATGGGACAACAACGTTCTACCTAGAAGAGCTCAACGACGATATAGCGCTGTCACTAATGTTACCTGGTTTCTCATACCAAAAACACAAGTACTAACTCAGAGTCTTAACACGTGTTCCTTGATGTTTGTGCCGCTGTATGATGCAGCTGCGTGGACGTCGGGTCATCAGCCGGCCCCTCAACATTACTATGCTTTTGTCTTTAGTTCAGGAAGGATGGAATTAAAGATAACACCATAACATTGTTAGTGTTGTCAGCCTCTCGACACTGGTGGCCAACTCAAAGTTCAATAGGAAATATGACAATATTCTCGAGGAAAAACGCTTAAGGCCAATGTCCCCATTTGGCAGATAATTATAGTCAGATCAATCTAGAGGATATTTAGTGTCATTCTCTTTTTCAACTTTGGGGTTTGGCTTATCAGGACACCAGGTAGCAAAACATTTTCAAGAGTGGAAATTTGGTTAACGCGATATGTGGACACTGCTTCACTGATGATTATACTAAAAGCCTTCGGCTGTTTCACAATTTTTTTCTACCTTCACGGAAAGGAACCTCCGACTTTTTCCTAGCCAATTTTCAGCTAGAACTCTATGGCATTCTTCACATTATTTTTCCTAGTTATTCGACTTCAACATTGAAGTTAAGCCGATTCTTGAAGTACTGGTTGGAAAGACAATTGAACAGGCCCTGTTGGAGGTCATGGAAGAGGAGGAAATTGCAGATCTTAGGAAGGAGCAGGCAATTCTGCAGGAAATTCACAATGCAGATCTCGCTGAAATTGCTCGCCTGGAGGAAAGGAACAGACGCTACAGGTAGGTGGCGTTATGTACTGTTCTATGAAACATAAATGTCTACTATTTTTTTTAGTAGGCGTAAGATTGTTTCAAAATAATGGCGGTAAGAGTGTGTATTTGCTTTTTGTACTGAAGAGAGGAACAGGCGCGACGACGAAAGCAGGCCGAGCACGCGGCCGTCTTACGCCAAGAAACAGCCGATAAGATCGCCGCCCGCTGCTTCGTGAAAGCCTACCTGGAACCGCTTCTGCCAACGACCTTTGAACAACTCATGGAACGTGGATACTTCTATGATGCCGTGCAGAATGGTCTGTTCCTTTTTGTCTACTAGATGATGATTTAAAAAAGACACAGTTTGCGCATTTATTTATCAGGGAGTCTTCCGAGCTAACAGTTCAATGTGACTCCTGTCTACCGCATCTCAAACACAATCCTGATCTGCCAGAAAAGTTGCTGAGATTTCTAGAAAACCTAATCGGAAGGCCTCTGCTCATCACCGAAGAATAAAGACATGATAGTGGCTCATATTCATTCACATTGTCTCCTACTAAAAAAATTCTTGAGACGTTGGCCCTCCAACTGGTTGCCGATGTCTGGAGAGTAGGTAAACTTAG